TAAATTAGATGAGAATTCAGCATCACAGAGTGTAAAACTTTAAAACATCATCAGAGTGTTGCCAGATGTAGTAGGCCTAGCTCTGCCTAGAATTTTTTTCCCAGAAAGTGATATTTTCACCTCCCCCCCCCCAACTATCCACTCCCCTTTAAAAAGTTGGCAAGGATATTTACAGCAGAGCAAAAATATACATACTGAGGATTTAAACAATTGCAGGAATTCTTTTCTTGGTTTGCATAAAATCAGTGGATCTTTGACAATGTCATTTGGACACTAGATCCTATGAAAAAAATTGTGACAGTCTAACGAATAAATGGCAATAGTAAAGTTGCCTATTTCAGTAAAATTTAATCATGCTTTTAATTGATTTTCAACTTGGACAAAACAAGTCTTAAATGATATTTTGTTCATAAAATTGTGGTAAAAGGAAAATGAGGTATTGCAAAGTTAAAAGTTTAATGATCAAACTTTTGCAACTGAAAACATTATTATTCTCTTTTAATTTTAGTGCTGATGATTTTGAGCTTCTTTGTGATGATGGTAGTCGTGCCGCAGTAACAGACTACAAAACATGTAATTGGGGAATAGTTCCTTCCAATGCTATTGTGACCACTTCTGCCAAGTCTCCTGAGCAGCGGCGAGGTCTCCAGGACTTCTTAAAGGTTAGGAGAGTCATTATGTATATTTCAACTTTATTATCAGTTGTCTCTTTACTATAACTATTCTTATATATAGTAGATCAGCATGCTTCTTTGTACATTAGTGTAATGATATACAAATAGATTAAAGCAAGGATTTTATGTGTATTTGGAGTTTGATCTACCATTGTAGGATGGTGATATTCTGTTTTTTAGCATAAACTAAGACATTTTTCTCACAGTATACTTGCACTAATTAATTAAATGGAGTATGCATTGCACCTCACAATAGATCTTTTTGTAGTGACTGAGTGAAAAGAAGTCCAGTAGGTAGTTAGAGTAATTTTAGCTGGGTGTACTTCTAATGTAATATTTTATTTGAGATAGTATTTTTTAATGCAATTTCTTTTCATAAATTTTCAGACTGCATTTGAACAATATGGGAAGAAATCAACTAATCCCAAGGATTTCTACCTCTTTGAATCATTCCCAAAATACGGCAAATCTTATGATCTTCTTCTTTCTGTAAGTACAGAGATAAGCAGTACAACATTCTTTTAGTTATTTAAATTTAACTCTTCAGAGTTTTAAGGTCTAGAAGGCTTCTAGGTCCAAGTTCTTCTCCCATTTGTTGAATGCTTAAAGAACCACTAGTAGTGTCTCCAGAGACTAGGGGTAATAATACCTCTGGCAAAGTTGTAACAAAACATGATTTTTTTTTCTCTCTTTTTTAACCTTATCATGACAAGGCCAGAATTTTAATTATTACACAACAGTCTAACCTTTCTGGCAGGGCGTATGCTGTGCACAAGCAACCCTCCTGCTCGTTCGCTAAAGTGAATCATGATGTGTATACAAAGCATACATTATTTCGTAATGACAGCTATAGCCATACGGAGGGTTTAATCTAATGGATCCAGGTGCTTCATTGCTTGCACACAGCCCATTAAGCTTGCTTGAGTAGCCACTTTCACAAGTTTGTGACCTGTAGGCTGGGCACATATGAACACGCATGTGCAGTGGCAATCTATGTTATTATCTCTTCATTTTTTTTTCTTTTTTTTTTTTTTTTTTTTTTTTTTTTTTTTTTTCTTTTCTTTTCTTTCTCATTTGCTGTGCTGTATCCAGATGGTAATAGATTGTTTTCCTTTCACAGACTCCATATCATCTCTCTGGTTCTAAACTCAGTGCAGAAATAATGACAATAAGAAACATTTTTTTTTGTTTGTGTTAATTTTTTTTTTTCTTCTTCTATGATATAATCACAGCCCCCGTGATTGCCAGATAAGGCCATAACGCCACCCGGCTCGCTTCCCATAGGATGATCCTGTCCACCAGGTTGTCTCTGTACAAGACAGCCCTGGGTGGGGGAGGCCTGTGGGACGACCTAGGAAGTCGTAGCTTTGGCAGATGGGCCAAGTCCTTGCCTGGCAGCTTGTTCATGAGGGATTCTCATAGGTGGAAGCGCAGGATGGATGCAGCTATATGCCCCTGTCGGTGTTAGCTCCCCAATGATGATGAATACTATGTGTATATACTACATATATGTATATTTTATATACATATATATATATATATATATATTATATAATATATATGTATATAATATATATATATATATATATATATATATACATATTATATATATATCTACTATATTATATGTATACATATGTATAATATATATATATATATATATATATATATAGTATATATATACATATGTATATATATATATATATATTATATCTAATAATATATAATATCTGATATATATAAATAAATTATATATATATATATTATATAAATATAATATAGTAGATATATATATATGTATATTATGTAGTAGGTATGTAATAATA